AAGATCCAAAGGGGGCCTGAACAACAATCAGGGCACAGTGGGCCCAGACAATAAGCAGGAAGGGACAGGACAGGACAGGACAGGTCAGGTCAGGAAAGGAAAGGACAGGAAAGCACAGGAAAGCACAGGACAGGACAGGACAGGACAGGACAGGACAGGACAGGACAGGACTCGTAGAGAAGTAAGGGGGGAGTTATGATTGAGATTGCTAGGACAACATGTGAGCAGACAGGAATGTCATACTTCTGACAGTGGGAACGTGATTTTGAGGGGACTGTGATTATTTGAGGATGATTAAAGTGTTTTGATAGTTAGAAATATGTTGTGATTGAGATAGTTGATTGCTTACTGGGAAATGTATAAAGGTGCGGAGGCTGAAGATGATCCCCCAGTTGGGGAAACCCCTGGCAATTGCCAGAGGGGGTTACAAGATCTTAACACATTGTTATAACCAATTACATCATGTGTCAACTTGTTTGAATAGAATGAATTGGAATAAGTTCTCACAGACTGTACATGTGGAACTTTCTCATGTTGCTCTAAGTTAAATCAAAAATTGAAATTGCACTCAAATATAATTGTATACAATTGGGATTGTATTTTAATTGAAATCTGGCAGAAAATCTCCTCTCTGATTGTATAAATAACATTTGAACTATATTCAACTCTTATTTATGTAAATATTCTATTATTTTCTGTACATATGTTATGTACACATTTTATGTACTTATTTGCTGCACAGTCCACAGCAATAATTATTTTACTCATTCTTATGAGTTTTGACAAAGTACCATAAGGAGTAGGAATTTGGGGTTAGGCCCAGTGGGTAACCCCATGGCATAGTACATAACAAATCCATTTCTGGAATAATATTACATGATTTTTCAATATTAAAGGAGATAAAATACTATGATTACTTATATGCAGGCTTTTGGATACTCTGGAGTATCTCTAAGGTTGACACAATTGCTGATTTCAAAGTGTCTCTAATATTTTTTGGAGCCCTAGATTTTCCTGGCTTCATGAACTGAGTAATTGTTTCAATGTCTTCAATATTTGGAGTGAGACCATGTTGGTGAGCCAGGTGGTTGATCATGCTTTTGGTTGAGCCCCTTTCATCCACCACAATTATTGCTAGACAGAGATTTGTTGCAGTTGAAAGCTGCTCTAGGCAGACTGACACCCAAAGATTATAAGACTTGGACCTGGTAACATGACAAGCAGTGCAAACACACATCAAGACTTGATCCCAGAAGATTACAAGCATACCTTTGGTAACTGTACAAAAATGTCAACTTCACAGCAATAAGTGTTTGTAGCCTAGTTGGTTCAAGGCAGCACTCTATTGTGTCTCAGTTCTACTGAGGTTTAGAGTTCCAATCTCACCAGACACAACTACATTCTGGATTCTGACAACATTTGTGTGCTGGGAACTTGACTGACCAGGCATATGTTGTCTAACACATTGTCAATAGTTGTTGCCTTGAAGTACTGCCATACCCAGTTTTTGCTGTGGCAGAATCAGATGTTTCCGGCGTTAAAGCTTCGATATCTGAATCGGAATTTGACTGGTCAGCCATATTGAAGGTTGCCACCATGCCAAATCGGATGAACTAGATCCGGAACCGGTGGGCCGGATCGAAACCCTACAGGACAGGCACATGAAATGTTAAACGGAATGTTTCACAGCCCTGTCGCGTGACTGTCACGCTCGCCAATCGGCATAAATATATTGCCACCACACTCGCTGAGCAGTCAACAACAGATTTCTACCACCAACAACTGCAGGCAAACACTTCACACTTCGACTGGACAGTCTTTTTTACCAGGAACGGCGATGGAACTTGAGAATGAGCACGATGTTGCTCAGCCAGAGGAACTAAACGAAGAGGATGAAGCCACGCAGAACGCTCTCGAAGATAGTAGCGAAGAGGAAGAAGAGGGGAGCGAGGAAGAGAGGGCAGTACGCGAAGGCAAGTATTTAGACTGCTTCATATTCAAGATATTCCCACAGGGAGCTGACTTGTTTATCTTTCAGGGTTCATTGCTGATGAGGATGAGGAGGAAGATGATGCGTCAGAGGACGAGGATCGCTCATCAAGGAAGCGAAAGCGCAAGCATCGTCACCGACATAAGCATTCAGAGCGGAAGAAGCATCGCTCCGGTATGCCCACAACGTTTTCCACCCACATGCTGTGCGGTCCACTTACATGATCTTATCCTTAGTTGCCAACGACGACGATGAAGACAATGACCTGGACGAAGATGACCTCGAACTGTTGGCCGAGAACACCGGAGTTGCTCCCCACAGGAAGGCTAAGGTACTCCTCCTGTTACTTACGAGCGAATCAAGTTTGTCTGAAGGGCCATATCTAACTGCCCAATGGTGATCGCGATAACAACAGCGACGATTACGACGCGCGGGATCTGTGGCCTCTGATAACATTGACCAAGATGTTGAAGATGACCTGCATCGGATCTTTGATGACGAAGATGACGGATTCGAAACTTCCGCTCGCCCTCGGGACAATCTTGGTGGAGATGATCTTGATGACTTCATTGAAGAGGACGAATTTCCTGAAGATGAACCCTCAGACTTACCCTCAAAGGCTAGTAAGAGGAAAGATAAACATGTCCGCTCTTCGCAAGGAAACGCAGGTCGCCAAAAGCAGGCGGGTCGCTTGATGGGTGCCCTGGCACCCGATGTCTCCGATATTACCAAGGAGTCTTGGGATGAAGTCATTGAAGTTTTCGGCCACGGCGATGATTACGGTTGGGCGCTAGAAATTGACGAGAATGCAGAGTTGAACTTCGATGGTGTTGACCCAGATATAGATGGCGAAGATGTCCAACCCAAAGGCACAGCCGTTCAACTGAAGGATATCTTTGAACCCAGTGAAATTAAGGAGCGCATGTTGACCGAGGCCGACGAAGCAATTCGGCTTCTCGATATTCCGGAACGCACTCAACTCGCGTCTGCTGGATTAACCAACATCAATTCTACAGAGCCAGTTCTTGATGATGAAGAGCTCGAGCGCGCTGCTCAATGGGTTGCACCAAGAATTTCACAACGCTGCACCGAATCTTTCATCCAACTCGACCGCGACGGATACTCGCCCTTATTGAAACCACAATTCAACAGAGCCGTGAAGGATGTTTTAGAATTCTTTCTCAGCAAATACTTTGAAGTCCCTTTCGTCTTTATGCACCGGCAGGATTACATCACTTACCATGATGCCAAAAGTCATGATGCGCCGAGCCGAGAGATACGGTTCCTAACCCGTGAAGAACTGTGGAAAGTACATACACTCGCCTTGAAGTATGTAGCATTACTAGAGCGCAAGAAAGGTCTCAATCGCCTGTTCGTAAAACTAGGGACGGAAAATGATTATTTCCAGGAGTGCTTTTCAGGCATTCAATCTGTTGAAGAAGTCGCTGACCTGATGCAATGGCTTACCCTGACATATGGCCACCGATTGCGTGAAGCACAAGCGGATGTTCGCGAGGATGCTGATGCCATGGCCGACCTTGATACTGAAGGTCTCAACGGAGCTGCCACCGATGCCAAAAAGGCTGTCAGATACAAAAAAGCGTTGCGCGAAAGTCGATATGAACGGACCAAAAGTACCAACATCAATCACTTTGCTAAAAAAATCAGCATTTCTGCGCGCGAACTAACTACCAACTTACTGAGTCACGACAAGAGGTATCAAAAGGAAGACCCTCCCTTAGAACCTCTTGTGTTTGCTGAAACATTTTGTGATCCAGAAACCGAATTTGACGAACCCAAGAAAGTGATTGAAGGTCAGCATTTTTCTCTTCAGATTTGACATATTGTGGAGGTCTATTTTAAGAAAGCTGGCGCTATGTCAACCTATTCCCCTTCCACCATCAGCGGCTAAGTTTATTCTCAGTACCGATATTGGGCGTGACCCATTGCTCAAAAAGCACGTCAGGCAGTTATTCCAGAGTCATGGAGTGGTCACCGTGACGCCAACTGACACTGGTGTACACAAGATCAACGAACTCCATCCATACTTTGTAGGCCTTTTATTGATAATCATGCTTGTAAGCCTTTCATCACTGAGAAAATCGGTCTTGATGTTATTCCAGGCCTTCAAGTATCTCAGCCAGAAACCCTTTTCGGCCCTCAAACACTCTGCCCAATATCTTCAAATCATAGCTGCTGAACAGGAGTTGCTAGTCGATGTTCAAGTCCACCTGAATCCACAGACCGATCACGGCTTCAAAACAGAGCTAATCAGCATGTTCAAGTCAGAAGACCCTTCTGACGAATCAGCGAAATGGAACGAGCTTCGGGAAGAGATTCTGATGTATGCGATTGAGCATATGCTACTACCAGACGCAGCCCGTTGGGCCAAGAACTACCTGAAGGATGAGGCCGAGGAATTCGTGGCGCAAAAATGCGCAGATGAATTAGAATTTGTGAGTAAACATCCTGTAGTGTAGTTTGAGTGGCTTGTTTATTCCATTTACTCATCACATTTGTCAATAGCGAGCAGACGTTGCTCCCTTCTGTCCTGATCATCTGTTTGACGGCGAGGCCCCCTCGGTGGTTGCTGTTTCAAATGGAGCAGGTGATCCCAAGCGAGATTCGGTTTTCGTGATCTTCTTAGACCGAGCAGGGCGATTTCGGGATCACATGAAGCTTGATAACCTGCGTGATCCCGCACCACGACAAGCCTTCTCGGAATTTTTGCAAAAGCGTGCGCCAGACGTAATTGTCGTTGGTGGGTTCAGTGCATCCACCTACCGATTATTGGGAGACGTCAAGACTGTTTCGGGCGAATTATCTGAACGCATGAAATCCGAAATCCAAAGTGCCCAAGGTGAATTAACGGCTGAAGCCGCCAGCAAATTGAATTTCCCGGTTATCGTCGCTAGAGATGACACCGCCAGATTGAATCAGCAGGGCAAACGGGCTGAAGATGAATTTGGAGAGCTGCCGGCTCTTGGAAGATATTGCGTTGCTTTGGCCAGATATGTCCAGAGTCCGCTAAATGAATATGCTGCCGCTGCATCGGACTTGACTGCGATCTCCTTTCACCCCGACCAACAACTCCTTCCAAAAGAGACCCTTCAAACTTACTTGGAACGCGCATTGGTCAACATAGTTAACGTCGTCGGTGTCGATATTAACAGGGCCGTGAATGACCATTACTACCAGTGCCTCCTCCAATATGTTTGTGGACTTGGGCCGCGAAAAGCTCAGAAGTTGATCAAGTTAATCAACACCAACCCGAACATTGTCAGTTACTTCATGCCGCCCGCAAATAGTGACAATTTAACTTGATGATTAACCTAACTGCCTATTTACTACCACAGGAAGGTACTCTTAGTCTGAGAAATGAATTGATTACTCAGAACTTGGTCCCCAAAAACATCTTCTACAACTGCGCCGGATTCCTACGAATCAAACAGGACGACCTACGTGCGAATCGGGATATTGATCCTGACATCTTGGATGATACGAGAATACACCCCGAGGATTACGACGTCGCCCGCAAAATGGCTGCTGATGCTCAGGAGTTAGATGAAGAGGATCTTGCCGGGCAGCCAGCGTCACAAGTAGTTAGCGAACTGTTGGCTAGTGATAATGGCGGAGCGTCGAAATTGGATGATTTAAATTTAGACGACTTTGCCGATGAGCTGCTCCGCTTGATGAATAAAAAGAAAAGACTGGCGCTCTATCAGATTAGAAACGAGCTACAAAAGCCTTACCGCGAAAAGCGCGAGAAGTTTGAACCCTTAACACCCGAGCAAATGTTCGACCTGTGGACAGGCGAGAACGAAGCGACACTCTCCCAAGGAGCAATCATACCTGTTAAAATAACAAGGGTTCGTGATCGAGGCTTGACCGTCCGACTGGATTCTGGAATCGAGGGTTTCATTGATCAGAATTACATGGTTGACGAAGGAACCCCAGATATGAGCAAATTTCCAGTTGGATCGACAACACAGGCCGTGGTCATTGAAATACACAAGGGCCGTTTCTCGGTGGAACTAAACTCCCAGCCTAAATACGTGGCGGCTAACTCAAGCCGCCGAAAGAATGTCGAGACCGATAAATATTTTGACCTGGCCCAGATGGAGATCGATAAAGAACGAGTGGAATCGAAGAAAAACACGGGCAGTCGGCGCACTCAGAGAATTATCAAGCATCCGAACTTTCACAACTTTAATGCTGGACAGGCTGAGCAGCACCTCGCAAACTTGCAGCGAGGCGATTGTGTGATTCGTCCCAGCTCTAGAGGTACTGATCACTTGGCTGTTACATGGAAGGTGGACACGGGTATCTACCAACACATTGGTCAGGCGCCAGAACTTGAGCTTTTAACTGTGCAGTCGAAGCTGATTTTTGTTCCTTGTTGTA